TAAGATCTTTAATTACCTTGCTGACTTTTTCGTAGTCTGAAATAAAAACCTTCAGTAAAAAATTAATCCTTAAGTGAAATAAAGTCTTAGGGTCCCGGGGTCGCACTACGGTGCATTTTGCTCAACGTCAGGACCAAAAGAAGAGCAACTTAGAAGATTCTTGAGACCCTGACGATAATTCCACCAAAACATACACAGATCCAAGGGTTGATCGCGCAGTTCGACATAGCTAGAAATAAGGAAACATACCAGAAGTAAAAGAAGCCACAAGATGATGTTATTGTTCGGTCTGAGTTGAAGAACATGAACCACGCAATACTTAGGGGCAGCCAGCATAATGCAAACCCCAACACGATGGCAACGGACAGTTTAAGAACCTTTCGCTCTCTTTTCAATTGTTTTTCTCTTATGTGAGTTGATTGCTGTCCTGGAATTTTCTGGGATTTGATTTTTAACGTAATGGCAGAGTAAACTATGACGATAAATACCAAAGGAACATAAACAAATACAACTTGCATCACCAAAGAGAAGCTTTTGAAGGACGAAGACTCTCCGAATGCGTCATTCCAATCACGCACGCACGCACGCGACAGCCCCTCTGGAAACTCGACAACTTTCCAGGCGAACAGGTCTGGGCACCAGATAGCCATAGCGATGATCCAAGTGGTGAGAATGTAGAATCGGCATCGCTTTGAATTAATCAGCGGGGAACGGAGGGGAAATGTTACAGCTCCAAATCGATCGACCGCTATTAAAACCAGACTTTGAACAGACACAGTAAAGGACACATTAGGTGCATAAATAGTGAACTTACATAACAATTGACTAAGCGGACCACCTATCACCCAGGAGTTAGTGTATAACAAAACCAAATGATCAGGAAAAAGGAAAATCGAAAGAAGCAAATCGGACATGGCCATGTTAACAATCAAGAAATTAATAGGCTTTCTCAGAGTTTTTTTCTTAAAGACAATCATTGCAATGAAGGTATTTCCAATCAACGAAACAAGAAAGAGCAAGCAGTAAGCAAAGGTTTCACCGATTCTTGTCGCTGTGGGGTTGAAGCAGCTCGACGTGGACTGTGTTCCATTCATCGTTGCAGTCACGTTTTCTGACATTCTTGAGAGATCAGTTCTTATTCAGTCAGTGGTTATCTGGAGGCTGCCTCTATTTAAAGAAAACACAGCTGATTATTTTGACAAACTTTAAAATTGTTTTATTTCGCTCCCTCCATGCAAAGCGTCATACTTTATTCATTGGAGAAAAACCGAAATACAGTAAAAGAGTGCTCCTACCTTACGGAAAAACCTTCTCACAGTTTTTACTGAAGTATTCTTTCAAAAGAGCTGCAAAACCAATCAAGAATTGGTCGTTTAAGGGAAACAATCTTTTTCAGGTACGGATCCAAAAGTTATTCCCGACATGTAAATTTCTGGAAGAAAGATGTTTTCGTCTTGTCACGAGCGTGCAACAAAGAAAAAAGTCTTAGTCCCTATGCGGAATCCGATTATCGGTTTCTCCTTCGGCCAACAGTTCTCTGTCTGACTCTGAATCCTACCTATGCTTTATGAAAGAAGACATAGCTAATTGTTTACTTATATATTGATAATACTAATGAATTCATAAATTTCGTCGGAGTCCTTAGTCTTATGCTAAGAGCTCTTAATTGAGAAGCTGCCTACACTCTATTTAAATAAAGCAGAGGCGACTGTCTACGTATACATTAAAAATTGATTAACTAAGAATCTTTAGATATCATTTTACTTTCATTTAATTTCGACTTGCAGTCTGTGCTCAAAAATTATTTTTTAGGTAAGGAATAGAGTCAGTTGAAATAAGATTGTCAAGAACGAAAAATGATTTTGAATGCTATACTTTTTTTTAAGCTTTTGGTATGATTGGTAAATGGTGAAAACAACAATTTTAGAGAAATGTATTTACATATAAAAGAGGAAAAACAAGTCGTTTCTAGGGAAGGTCGTTCAACGCAAGGCGTGATCTGAATCTAAAGGCAGACATTAATAAAGCACATGATAGAATGGCGAATACCGAAATAGAATAATTTAGTGATGTTGAATGACAGTTGACAGCTTGTCTCAGAATCATCACGTATGAGCAAACGATATTTCCCTTTTTTAACCAATCTTTGACTTTGAGCAGTTTTCAGAGAACTACCTATATTCTCAATAAACAAACAAAGCTGCTTACTAACAAATAACTTTTATTAACTTTCATTAACTGCCTTAAGCCAAACTTCTTTTACTGAGTTGGATCTAGTTTTCTATGAGGAACAGCTCCAAAAGATTTTTCCCATAATAAAAACTCCTTTCCTTACTCGCTTATTAACTTTTTTCCTGTCTTTATTTTGTATTTTTTTTATTTTATAAAAGTTGTAAGCAAAGTTGAATCCGATTCTCTTTCCCTCAGTAACTGGATTTAAGCAGCTCGGTACCTGTGTTCCATTCATCGTTGCGGTCACGTTCGCCAACAGCTCTGAACGCTATCTTTTTTAAAGTGAACGCAGTGATGATTTGCATAGATATTATTATTGTTCTAAATTGCATACGTTAGCTTCTCTGGAAATTTAATATCGACAGATGTACCCTGAACCTTCATTTTAATTAGCAAAAGTATCTACAATTGTAGTTTGAATAATTGTACTTTAAATAGAAATATCATTGGCCTCAGGAACATTTGTAGAAAGTTCCATTTTCTTCTGTTTCCGCATCTTGACGTGTATGTACAACGCTTTCAATACATATCATAAATTTGTATTTCAGTCACATGATGATAATTGTTGTGGTTGTTTCTTGATCGCTTATTTGCATACTACTTTCGTAACAGACGATTGACGGATGTCAGTTTCCCATCCAGGATAAGTCGTGAAAAACTAATATGAGCTAACAAAAGGCGAGGAATGTATCAAGTTATGCGTATCTTTTTTCTTTTGTGCACGAAAACAGCCCGGTAATTGAGGGACGGAAAACGGGGAAAAAGGAAGTTAAAACGAAAGCTGGCGGCTTCCTTTCCCTGCGAGACGTAATCTGAATTAAAAAGGAGATAAATGTTTAGCAAATGACTGGAAAGCAAAAGCTAAAATAGCGTTATTTATTGAATTACGTTTGACAGCTGACTCAATGTGATGGCGGCTTATAATAAGTGAAGGAAAATGTTCTATGATGTAGTACACACTATTTTAAAAGATTATAGAGAAACCAAGAGATTCTTTTGAGAAAAACCTAGTAAACTGAAATATTTGATTTTACTGTTTTCCATTTTCATAAACGACCGCATAAACTTCAACAAAACCACAAATGGAACGCAGACAACATCGTGCTTCGATCCTACAGCAAGAAGAATCGGATACACTGTTACTCACAGCCTGATCTCTGTAGTTTCACGAGAGAAGTTCACAAAGTCTGACGTTTCAGGCGTTTCTGCCTTTGTTGGTCCTGACATACGAAAGTTTGAAGAGAAGACAAATTTTAAGTCACCTCTCATTATACTTTGAAAATGAAACCCGGGTACCACCTGGAGCCTGTAATAAAAAAGCCATTTCGTCACTCTTGACATCGCATCGAACTTTCAATTTTCGAAAAAAAAGGAAAAAATAAAAAGACCAAAGCTATTAATTTAAGTCAATATCGGCATTCATTCTATTTTATCTTTTTTTTTATGTTTCTTTTTCCACCAGAAGCATTTGGGAAATTTTCATACAATTACACGAGAGCGAATTTCCGACACAGATGACTTTATTTCACAGATCTGACATTTTTTCGATTCTGACGGCCAAAGCGTAAAGGAAAAAGAACTTTTTAAAATTCGTCCCCCATTATGCTCTATGTCATCTGAAGCTTGTAATAAGAAGCGATTAAGTTTCGTCTATCTTTATTTGAACATGTTCACATCTACGAATACAAGAAATCCTCGCAGTGTAAAAGAATCCGTGATCTCTTTCATATCATTAACTAATCACGATTGCTCAACAATCTTGTACTAAATAAGTGAGTCATGGAACATTGGCAGCCCTTTCTCTCATTTCAATTAAGAAATACAAAATGAAACTTTATTGAAACTACGTCCGAGGAAACCTCCGCGTGCCATCTTTTATGCGCCTGCCTCCCCGCCTGTCTTTGCTGACTGTAAGCCTCCGACAGGCGAGATTCATGAAGAAATTGAGGAGAGGGAAGACAAGGAAACTTGATATATTGATTGTTACTAATCGAAATAAAGAAAAGAGATCTGAAAGACGTCAACAAGCGGACTCTATTTGAACAGAATTGTTTACTCAGTTGCAAGAGAATATTAAATGTTTATATTCTCTTGTCTGTAGCTTTCCTCTTTCAGATATTTTTCCACCCACAATATACGATTGAGAGAATCAAATATTTGATAATTGCGTCAGGATGTCGCCAGCATATCGCGTCCTATTTTTGAATCTCTATGTAAGTGTTTGCTAATGTTTTACCAGTATGAGCACCTGTTTTAACAAACGAGGCCAAATGGAAAGCTTCCCAAAAGCAAGCAATATATGATGCACAGTATATGTTTCCTCACCAAACAAAGTTGGTGATTGAGCGTTCGGAACTTAGAAAATTTGGATTAATACATCTGGTTTGATCGTATCTTCTATGAAGTGATTGATAAAATGATAAGTTTCTCCCTGTGTTCTGTATGGTATTTATAATATAATCCAAATGAAGATGATATTCCATATCCGACAGGAATTAAAACCCTTTCTAATGCACATGACTGTAAGATTTTATCAGATACTACTTGATTAATATGTTTTATTCATAGTTGTTTCTAATGCAACGTTGACAGGATTCCTTAATGCATATCAACGGTTCACCCCTAGGAAAAAATGTTTTTACGGCAACAGATTTGTTTCTAAACCCCTCAGTGTGGATGTTCTTTACTTTTCATAATGATGTATTTAATTTAGTTTCAGTTCAGTTTACAAACAATTCTTATTATATTCCAAAGCGGCTGCCATGATGTTACATTGCATCTTTATTAGCCCTGGCAACTCACTCAGCAGCCGAGGAGATTCTTAAGACCTTGGCGATAATTTCCACTGAAAATAAAACAGATGCAGGGGTTCATAGCGCTATTTGTTCGACTCAGTAGCAGAGCAACTTGCTCTAATAACTGTTTGAATCCACAGGACATTGTAGCATTGTTTTCATCTGCAAACATACGTACTAATGCAAAAATACTGAATGGAATCCAGCATACAGCGAACCCTAACACAATAGCAATGGAAAGCTTCAGCGCATTTCTCTCCCTTCTCAAGCGCTGAATTTGAGCGTTCATTGAGTGTTCGCCTGGTCCTCTCTGGGACTTCAGTTTCAAAAAAATCGCAAGATATAGAATAAACATCAGAACGAAGGGAATATAAAAAAATGTAATAAAAAGTGCCATAAAGTATTTTGTCACCGACGAGGAATCGTCAAAGACACGCATCCATTGCCGCACACACTTGTACTCATGATCATATTCGACCAGCTTGAACGCGAGCAGATACGGGATGAATGTAGCCATGGCAATGATCCACGTGGCGAGAATAAAGAAGCGATACAATTTTGAACTGAAGAGCGGGGAACGGAGGGGAAATACCACAGCTACAAATCGATCCACTGCTATGAGCACAAGGCTCTGAATTGACACAGCAGAGTTGCATTCATTGTTGCGCTCAAGTTCGTGGACATTTCGAAGACGCGTTCTTCAGTCACCGTTAAAGTCAAGTATTATCTTATGGAAGTCACAAACACCTCTATTTGTATTACCGCTTGCTGTGGAAGTGATGTAAATTTGAATATTTCATTTTGATGATTCACACTGAAACCAATTATTTTAGGTCTTTATATGGGTTTGTTGTTGTTTCCAGTTAATAGCTGTTTTTAAAATTGCCGTCGGCAACTATGGTGGAGCCGGAAAGAAGGAGAAATCTAGAAGAAAGTTTCACAGTTTTCTACGTTATCACCCGCTAATTCGTTACCAGTCCACGGGACACTTTTAAGACAAAATAAAAGCGCTTTAGGGCCTGAAAAAACCGAGTTCTAATTTTTTTGAAATTTTTCTTTTATGGGAATTGGTTTTTACACATAATAAGCTAAATATTTACGCCAAAAAAATTTCGTGTCATGGGCACTTTAACTCTAATTACCTAGAATTCTTTAACTCATTTCGGCGGGTGAAAAAAAGAAATTGTAAAAGGGATGTTTGAATTCTTAAATTGTTTGGGTTTGTTGTCATGGATCATGTCTTAAAGTGCCTGTGACGAGAAATTTTTTTTTGCATTTTCCGGTTAATAACTGTTTTTAAAGTTAGAAATAATCGACCTTAGCGCCTAGCGAGTTCTTCTTGACCAATTTTTTGTGCATTGAAAGTACGATTAGGTGGCCAAAAAGTACCGCCATTAAGCGCACGGCCAAAACGATCATATTACATAGCTGTGACGTAGAAAACTGTGAAGACACGTCGGCAACTATGGTGGAGCCGGAAAGTAGGAGAAATCTAGAGGAAAGTATGACAGTTTTCTACGTTATCACCCGCTAATTCGTTACCAGTCCACGGGACACTTTTAAGAAAAAATAAAACCACTGAGTGATTATCACTCATGAAGCATGATGAAGCACTCTTTACTTTAAGTGTTTGGGATTAGCCTGTCAAAAGCTGCGTTCTAGCAAAACTCTCAGTAATGAAAGTCAATTTCAGAACATCAGCATAATCTATCAGGAAGGGATTGCAGTTTTCCGCCGACAATGAATTCTCATTTAAGTTCGTGGTTAAATCGACGTCGTGTATGTGCGTAAAACGAGGATCGCCGTATTTTTTCGAGCAAACGCCCTGGGCCCGGTTGTTCAAAACCGCGATTAAACTAATCACCGATTAGGCCTAATCGGCGATTAAATTTCTTAATCGTGGGTTAGTTAATCGTTGGTTAAAAAACGGTTGTTCAAAGGGAGATTACTCGGTCGATTTACTAATCCGCGATTAAGCATAAAATGAATTATATAAATTAATTATAATTTATTTTGTGCCAGTTTACGTCATAAAATTGCCAGAAATTTATTTTTGTCAATATGGCTTCTCCAGCGAAGAAAGTGCGGAAAGCAAACTTTTCACCCGCTGAAATTTCCGTTTTAACGGAAAATTTGAAGAAAATATGGACATTCTTCAAAGTAAATTTACCAACAGTATAACAAATGCAAAAAAAAAACAAGATTTGGGAAGAAATCTCGGAGGCGATAAACGCCGTCGGTGTGACAGCAAGATCAACGCAGGAAGTACGAGACAAGTGGAAAAACCTCCAGAGTCACGCAAAAAGAGAATTCAGTTCCTTTAAAAGTGAACAGATGAAGACAGGTGGTGGCCCTGCTCCCCCGAACCCATCAGAAGCCAGTTTAAAAATAATAAACATGTTCAGTGACACACCGTCATTTACTGGGTTACAGGGGTTTGAAACAGGTAAGTTTATAAATGGAACCATTATTGTAATACCTCTCAATGTCCATACCTTGCATAAAATGTATACTTCGCTAACAAACACAAAGCAAAGTGAAAATTAACGGACTTTAGACTTTTGTTTCTTTCTTATTTTCTTTTACATGTACTCCCATGTAAACAAAAAAACAAATGGCGCCCGAAAAGTCTGCCTTGCTCTTAATTCTTCGTCTGTATATCCATCTATCGTGAAACCGATGCTCCTAAACTCTCTTTGCTCTCTAAACTCTCTAAACTCTCTAAACCACCTAGCGAGCAGGGTTAGATTTAACCCTTGGTTTGATCGAAGGTTAGGAATAATCGGGCTTTGAACAACAGAAACTAATCGGCGACTTAAATTTAATCGGCGATTAGCCTATTTAATCGTGGATTAGCGCTAATCGCAGTTTTGAACAACCGGGCCCTGGGCGCTTAATACATTTTTAGACTTTCAGAGTAACCGCTTATTCGAGGAGGACGCTTTTATGATTTTCTTCATTTTCAGCAAGTATTAAGTTTATTTCGCCACAAAATGATAAATAATAACAATACGCGAAGATGTACCATAGGCAATGAATTTCGAGATTGTAAGGAAATATTGAATAAGTTATACTCCTCTTAGAGGCTCTCGATCGGGTTCACTGTTAGGCATAAAACGGCCTAAAAGTTTAGCCGTTAGGCGGAAAAATTGGCAAATTTTAACATTTAGTCCCAAAAACGCCAATTGTTGGGGCGTTTGAAGGAAACTAGCTTGCATGAGCAAACTGGACGGAAGGTACCAAGAATTGTGCTCACGGAAGCTTCTTCTTTAATCAATTACGCGTTGCCGCTACAACGTTTACAGTATTCCCTTTCTGATTAACTTCAGCTCTAAAGTTTTTCTTTAATTTATTACGCGTTGCCGCTGCAACGTTTACAGTATTCCCTTTCTTATTAACTTCAGCTCTAAAGTTTTTCTTTAATTTATTACGCGTTGCCGCTGGCGTGTGTCTTAAGGAGATCCCACATTATCTCAACAACGTCTTGTAGTGACAGCCAAACATTGGAAACTTCATTTAAGTAACTTTACCGGTACTCGTAATTTACATTGTTAATGTTATTGTTAATCCGGGATACCGATACCTTTTAGTGCCCGTCAACACATATGTCAGCGGACTCGTTCTGGAGACGCCATTTTGTGAAGTATATGTAGCACGAGGTTTTTGTAGATTAAAGCCTTTAGAAACGAGGCCAAACGTTTGTTTAACTATCATAACAATTTAATCTACAAAAAAAAAAAAAAAAAAAAAAAAACAAACAAATGGATAAAGTCCTCAGGCCCGAGAGATTCAGCGCCGATCCAAGCACGTCTGGAGCATCAAAATCGTGGATTCACTGGCGTCGAACCTTCGAAAATTTCCTCGCCGTATTGACGGAAGAAGGCCTCGATAAATTTGGAGTCCTGACAAATTTTATTTCGCCTGCGGTATTCGAATATGTAGAAGAATGTGCCGACTACGAATCTGCAATCGAAACTCTTCAAAATATTTTCGTGAAGCCGACGAACGAAATCCACGCCAGACACGTGCTCGCTACCAGACGACAACAGGTTGGTGAAACTCTAGACGAATATCTTCAAGCGCTCAAAACTCTCGCCAAAGACTGCAACTTTCAATCTGTCACCGCTGCCAAATATTGTGAGGAATATATACGGGATGCTTTCATTACTGGGCTACATTCTAACCAAATACGCCAAAGGCTACTAGAAAACAAAACTCTAGATCTGAAAACGATGTTTGACCAGGCCAGGGCGCTCGACTCTGCCATGCGCAGTTCAGAGAGTTACTCTGTCCCTCAACCTGTCAGCGTTGCAGCCTCAGCACAAGAAATGACCGCTCAGAATCCAATCCAAGTCGACTCTGCTCAGTCAGACTCCACACTCGCTGCAATTGATTCAAAGTGCTTCTTCTGTGGAAATCCTAAACACCCTCGAAGGTTAGGAATAATCTATTTGCAATAAATGTCAAAAGAGGGGACATTTTGCGAAAGTCTACCGAAGCAAGGCCTCTAAACCCAGCGAAGTTTCAGCTGCTCTCTGGCCACCTACTCTTGCCACCGTAGGAATTCCCCAATCTCTTAAAGGATCAACTGCTACTGTTGTTGTCAACAAGGTCTGGAGTGTAGAAGCACTCTTTGACAGCGGAAGCAGTGAAAGCTACATACATCCAAGCCTCGTTGAAGTAGCTGCTATCTCTGTTAACCCTTCGGTCAGCCAGGTCTCCATGGCAACATCTTTGTTAAGTACAAAGACCGAGGGCTCTTGCTCTGTTACTATTAACTACCAAGGTCAAACTTATAAAGACTTTCGCCTGTTGGTTATGCCAGGGCTTTGCTCTGATCTGATTTTAGGACTCGATTTTCAGTCTCAACATGATAGTGTCACATTCAAGTATGGCGGAACAAAACTGCCGCTGTCGGTATGCAGTCTCACTACTCTGAACATAGAGCCGCCATCACCATTTTCAAACCTCACTGCCGACTGCCATCCTATTGCTACAAAGTCCAGGCGCTACAGCAAAGGAGACCTGAACTTCATTGGCAATGAAGTAGAACGGTTGCTCAAGGAAGGCATTATTGAGCCAAGCCGGTCCCCTTGGCGGGCACAAGTAGTTGTCACAAAGGATGAAAATCACAAGAAACGCCTAGCTATTGATTATTCCCAGACAATCAATAGATTCACCCAACTAGATGCTTTCCCGCTGCCGAGGATCAGTGATACGATCAACGAAATAGCTCAGTACAAAGTGTTCAGTACCCTTGACCTCCAGAGTGCGTATCATCAAATACCTTTAAGAGAAGATGACAAGCCTTACACTGCGTTTGAAGCTAAAGGTGGGCTTTATCAGTTTACCAGGCTTCCTTTCGGTGTAACCAACGGTGTAGCCTGCTTCCAAAGAGAAATGATGAGATTTGTTGAAGATAACCACTTGAAAGCTGTGTTTCCATACATCGACAACATAACTGTATGTGGAAAGGATCAAGCTGACCATGATGCTAACCTCATATTATTCCAGGAGGCTTCTCAAAAGGCGAATCTTAAATTCAACGACAGCAAAAGCGTCTTCTCTGCTCAACGACTGCCGTTACTGGGATATGTCATTGAAAATGGTTCTATTAGTCCAGACCCCGAAAGATTAAGGCCTCTACTGGAGCTCCCACTGCCGCAAAGCTCAAAGGCTCTTAATAGATGTCTGGGACTTTTCTCTTACTATTCTCAATGGGTTCCTTGTTTCGCCGACAGAATTAAACCCATAACCAGCTGTAGATCATTTCCTTTATCTTCTGAAGCACAGAAAGCATTTGAAGACTTAAAGAGGATCATTGCCAAAGCTGCTGTCTCTGCCATAGACGAGAGTATTCCATTTGAGGTGGAAACAGACGCCTCAGATGTAGCGCTAGCCGCTACCCTAAATCAGAAGGGCAGACCTGTAGCCTTTTTCTCCCGCACCCTTCAAGGTAGTGAACTGAAACACTCTGCTGTAGAAAAGGAGGCTCAAGCAATAGTTGAGTCGGTCAGGCACTGGAGACATTTTCTCACCGGGTCCCACTTCACTCTAAAAACGGACCAAAAGTCAGTTTCCTACATGTTCAACCAGCGTCATCAAGGAAAGATTAAGAATGACAAGATAATGCGCTGGAGGATTGAACTGAGTTGCTATAGCTTTGACATAGAGTATCGACCAGGCAGAGATAATGTAGCACCGGATACCTTCTCACGAGCCACGTGTGCTTCTAGCGTCAGTGATGCTCTCTACAAGCTCCATGATTCGCTCTGTCACCCTGGGATTACCCGATTATGGCATTTTATTCGAGTCAAGAACTTGCCTTATTCTCTAGAAGATGTTAGGAGGACTGTGAACTCCTGTCCAATCTGTTGTGAATGTAAACCGGTATTCCACCGCCCGGACCCAGTTCAACTTATAAAAGCTACCCAACCCTTTGAACGAATCAACATTGACTTTAAAGGGCCACTTCCTTCCAACGACAAGAACAAATACTTCCTGAATGTTGTTGATGAGTTTTCACGGTTCCCGTTCGTTTTCCCTTGCCCTGATGTGTCTACTCCGACCGTTATAAAGTGTCTCACCACATTGTTTTCTCTATTTGGTATGCCTGCCTATGTGCATTCTGACAGAGGGGCTTCGTTTATGAGTCAAGAGTTACGGGAATTCCTCTCTAGCAAAGGTGTATCTACAAGTCGTACAACCAGTTATAACCCCACATGTAATGGTCAAGTTGAGAGGTACAATGGCACTGTATGGGAGGCGATTACAACGTCTCTTAAGTCAAAGAAGCTTCAGGCAGAACAGTGGCAATTGGTCCTGCCAGATGTGTTGCACTCGATCCGTTCTCTTCTGTGCACCGCAACGAATGAGACTCCGCATGAACGTTTCCTGAACTTTTCACGCCGTTCATCCACAGGTAGTTCGATCCCCTCTTGGCTGGCTGAACCTGGCCCTGTTTATGTAAAGCGTCATGTACGACACAGTAAGTTTGATCCTCTGGTTGAAAAAGCTGATGTTCTCCAGACCAATACTCACTACGCTCACGTTCGTTACCCTAATGGCAGAGAAACAACAGTTTCAACCAAGAATCTTGCTCCTTGTGGTCAAGTGGAACTTCTAGAACCACCCTCTTCAATCCAGCTCCCAGTCGTTAAACCCAATATTTCTAGTGAGTTTTCTCCCGTCAACGATCATCATGTTGATAAGACGCAAGAACCAACTAAAGAACCAGAACCCACAGAATTGAGGAGATCACAGCGAGAGCGCCGCCCTGTAGATAGGCTCAATTTATAGGAAGGGGTGAATGTAGTGACAGTCAAACATTGGAAACTTCATTTAAGTAACTTTACCGGTACTCGTAATTTACATTGTTAATGTTATTGTTAATCCGGGATACCGATACCTTTTAGTGCCCGTCAACACATATGTCAGCGGACTCGTTCTGTGAAGACGCCATTTTGTGAAGTATATGTAGCACGAGGTTTTTGTAGATTAAAGCCTTTAGAAACGAGGCCAAACGTTTGTTTAACTATCATAACACGTCTATTGTCACTTTGCCTGACCAGTTGAAAATACGTACGGGCTGTTTTTTTTCGGGTGCCAAGTCAAAAATTTCAGAAGCAATATAGCGAGGCTCTTCTAAAAGGGATTACGAACAGTTTCAACAAGTCAGAAAGAGATGGCCAGAGTTGTAAAATGTGGAAAGTTTGCTGTCACCAAACAGTAAATCATTTGATGGATGGGTTTCGCCGCACCAACTACTTCGTAAGTGTAGTTATTAGGGAGCTTAAGCATCGACGGCAGACGCGGACGGCAGCCGCAAGTTAAAAGTTCTTATTCCTTACGGTCGATGAATTAGTGTCAAATCGCGCCAGATTTAGTTTTATTCTTTCTCCTGTTTCTGCCCGCGTGTCAAAAATTTCTCTGCTCAAATTCTCTATAAATAGGGATAAAGAAACGGCGGGCATGTTCAGCCACATCAATGCGCGGATAAATCTAAACAGCATGCAGAAGGCTGGGGAGAAAACGATAACTAAGCAGCTACGCCTGTAGGAAAACAACCGAAGAGATTCTTGAGACCTTGACGATAATTACCACTGAAGATAAAACAGATGCAAGGATTTACAGCACAGTACGAGCGCGCCATAAGAAAGGCAATAATTTTAAAGTATTCCATGCCACAAGATGACCTCATAGCCATGTTTGATGAATAATGGAACAGCAAGGCGTAGATGCTGAGTGGCAACCAGCATACGGCGAACACCAAGACAATGGCAACGGACATATTAAGAACATTTCTTTCTTTCTTCAAACGCCGTTCTCTTGCGTTAGTTGATTGCTTCCCTGGAGTCTTCTGCGATTTAATTCTTAAGGCAATGGCAAAATAAAGTATGGCAATCAAAACCAAAGGGACGTAGCAGACAACAAGGATCAATCCTAGTAGGTAGGTTTGCCACGATAGGGACTCTCCAAATGTGTCATTCCACTGAAACACACAAAACAGCCCCTCTGGATACTCGACAACTTTCAGGGCGATCAAATATGGACAATGGACTGCCATGGCGACGATCCAAATGACGAGAATGAAGTACCGGCACTGCTTTGAACTGATCAGTGGGGAACGGAGAGGAAATACTACAGCCCCAAATCGATCCACTGCGATCAACAACAGGCTCTGAACTGAAACTAGAGTTGAGACATCTAAAGTGAATACACTTAGTTTACACACCGCTTGGCCAAAGGGACCGCTGACCAGCCAGTAGCCGGCCGTGTTTATCTCTACAAGAATTGGAGGAAAGCTGAAAATCGGGAACAACAGATCGGAGAGTGCCATGTTGACAATCAAAATGTTGATTGGTGTTCTCAGAGTTTTCGTCCTATAGACAATTATTCCAATGAAGGTATTCGCAGCCAGCGACACAACAAATAGCAGACAGTAGGCGAAGGTTCCTCCAATTCTTGTCGCTGTGGGGTTGAAGCAGCTCGACATGGACTGTGTTCCATTCACCATTGCTGTCACGTTTGCAGACATTTTTCGATACCAAGAGATCAGGTTTTTCTTCAGCCAACAGCCTTGCGGTGGGTACCTAAACTCGACTGGATGAAAACACAGCCTATCCATCTTATATAGATCAAACTTTCACATATTTAATTAATGAACATACCTAGGAAAATTCTAGAAAATCGACAGTCTTCACCTGAGACCTCTAACTAAGAAAAGTATGGTTGGAATCAGCTGTTGTCCGAAATTAAGCAATCGATATGCTTTTTCAAATATTGTCGGCAAAAGGGACAATTTTCTCAAGTTTATAAGCAGGAGCCCATCCTATATGAGTTTATATAATCATTATCAATATTGTTCCAATGGCTCTAGAAATAGCCCAGCCAAGGATTTTTACTGATATAGAATAACGGTTGACAGCTGGTAGCGAAAAGATCTACAATCTTCTTTTCAATTCAGAGTTTACTTTCAATTATGTTGCCATCGAAAGTTTAATCCAGCCTGAGCTTACTCATTAATCTTGTTGCTCAGTAAAACTTGTTGGAGTTTTAACAAAAAATTTCACGAAGTTGTAATAAAAGGGAAAGAAACAGCCAGGACAATGCCGATTTCCTATATGCGAGAAAAATGGTATGGTTTCATAAGTCATCAGGGGAATTTGCAATAATTTAACAAATTTGCATGACAGAATTCATATGGCTTACGATGTAAATTTTTCCTTTAATCTTGTTTTTGTATTCGAGCAAAGATCATATTTCCGTAGCTTTAACCGACTTAAACGACCGCATACGCTCATTAACTGTCTGTGCTTCGGCGAGACCGTCTATTCGAAATGTAAACATCGCTGAGCGACAAAATTCAGTCCCCGCCGTGAAACCAAAGTACAGGTGATATGACTATCAAAGAAGAAAAAAAGGACGAAAGAGTAAAAAAGAATAAATATCGGTTTCGATGAACCGTATCCCTGAAGTTGTTTTAAGAAAAGGATAATTTCTCTTTCTTTAACCAATCTTTGGCTCTGAGCAGTTCTCGGAGGGGCTACCTTTAGTCTCAATAAACAAAACAAAGCTGATTACTAACAAATAACTTTCATTTACTTTCTTTAGCTTAACTTCCTTTACTGAGTTGGATCTAGTTTTCCATGAGGAACAGATCCAAAAGATTTATCCCACAGTAAAAACTCCTTTCTTATTCGCTCATTAATTTTTTTCGTGTCTTTATTTTGTATTTTTTTTTTTATTAAAGCTGTAAGCAAAGTTGAATCCGATTCTCTTTCCCTCAGTAACTAAATTTAAGTAGCTCGGTACCTGTGTTCCATTCATTGTTGCGGTCACGTTCGTCGACATTCAGCCAACAACTCTGAACGCTATCTTTTTTAAAGTGAACGCAGTGATGATTTGCGTAGATATTGTTATTGTTCTAAATTGCATACGTTAGCTTCTCGAAAAATTCAAGAATATCGACAGATGTACCCTGAACCTTCATTTTGATCAGTAAAAGTATCTACAATTGCAGTTGCCTGAGATGAAAGAGTTGGGAATGATCTCATTTGGATAATTGTACTTTAAACTGAGAAATATCATTGGCCTTAGGAACACGCATTATAAATTTGTGCTTCAGTCACTTGATGATAATTGTTGTGGTTGTTTCTTGATCGCTTGTTTGCATACTATTTTCGTAACAGACGATTGACGGATATAAGTTTCCCATCCACGACGAGTCGTGAAAAACTAATATCAGCTAACAGAAAGCGAGGAATGTGTCAAGTTATGGGAATCTTTTTTCTTTTGTGCACGAAAACGGCATGGTAATTGAGGGACGGAAAACGGGGAAAAAGGAAGTTTAAACGAAAGTTGGCTGCTTCCTTCCCCTGCTAGACGTGATCTGAATTAAAAAGCCGATAAATGTTTAGCAAATGACTGAAAGAAAAAACTGAAATAGCGTTATCCTGGCCTCAGGAACAGTTGTTGAAAGTTCCATTTTCTTCTGTTTCCGCACCTTGACGTGTATGTAAAACGCTTTCAATAATAAATTTGTGCTTCAGTCAATTGATGATAATTGCCGTGGTTGTTTCTTGATCGCTTGTTTGCTCACTATTTTCGTAACAGACGATTGACGGATGTCAGTTTCCCAGCCACAATGAGTCGTGAAAAACTTATATCAGCTAACAAAAAGCGAGGAATGTGTCAAGTTATGCGTATCTTTTTTCTTTTGTGCACGAAAACGGCTTGGTAATTGAGGGACGGAAAACGGGGAAAAAGGAAGTTAAAACGAAAGCTGGCTGCTTCCTTTCCCTGCGAGGCGTGATCTGAATTAAAAAGCCAATAAATGTTTAGCATATGACTGGAAAGCAAAAACTGAAATAGCGTTATTTATTGAATTACGTTTGACAGCTGGCTCCATGTGATGGCGGCTTATAATAAGTGAAGGAAAATGTTGCAAGATGTAGTACACAGTATTTTAAAGGATTATAGAGAAACCAAGAGATTCTTTTCAAAAAAACGCTGAGTAAACTGAAAAATTTAATTTTACTGTTTTCTGTTGCCATAAACGACCGCATAAACGCACTTATGTTTTCAAGTTGTAAATATTACTGAGCGACAAATGTCATGCAGTCCCGGAGGTAAAAGCAAATTATAAAGTGGCCGGTGATATGAGTGCTAAGGAAGGAATTGATGAAGTTTAAAAAGCGCAAAATTTCTTTCAGTTCTCGATCAATTTTTTTTTCTTAACTCAGTCAAACCCTAATGTCCCATGTACTTCTTTGATATCTCTTTTTATTTCTCATGCCAAAGAATAAACAGATGTAATTCTTTCTATTGCTCTCAATATATTTTCATCCCTTCGTTCAATAACCATTTCAGACACACTCATTCAAACAACATGTTTACTTCCTTTTAATTGTAAAAATAAATGATTTTAATGATATGTTTTCTGGTATATAAAACAAGGCGCGGACGGGTTAAGTTTACGCGAACACAATGGTCATGAAAGAGCTGTGGTTACGTAATGTGTTTTGTCTTTATTAACTGGGAGGCTACATGTTATCAATTCGATCTTATTTTTTATCTGATCCTTTTACCTCTTGGGAAAATTTCAACGACTGCAGTCTACAAAAAAATGTTTACAAAATATGTACCCAGTTTTATATATATCAAACGACCATTAGGCCATAGTTATTCTAAATAATGGTTTAAGCCGTCATCCAAATTTTCTTAAAAATTCTTTGAGCTGTCAGTTAGGTATATACATGAAGTCGTGCGGTCTGAAGTGACTTTTTTGTGAGGATTTTGAAGGTGTTGGTTTATTTCAACCTCTTTGGCCGGTCATTTTGAATGAGCAAGTACCAGAATACCAGTAGACAAGATATCTGTTTATTTTTTGTTTTTGCGGGGTCGATTGAGTTGTATCCCAACCTTTAAACTTCGTCTCAATGTCATTATTCAAAAGTAGTATTAATGAGCCCATTTTTGTTATATATCAGCAGTAAGGCTGATATATTGTGTATCTGCACCAGAAACATCGTAAGCAGGTGAGCTAACATGCAACAGCTCGGGGCTCAAACTACAAAAAAGCATCTAGATCAACCAGAGAGAAATCAGCTAAAGAGATTCTTAGGGCCTCGACGATAATTTCCATTGAAAGTGAAACATATTAGTAATGGTAATGGGACCGAGTGGAGTCTAATAGTGGTCTGTAATCACACGAGTAATTAACAAAATCGAACAACTGCGAAGGGGGAGTCCGATTTGTTGAACATGAGTATGATTACAGACAGAATTGGAAGACGAGAAGTGAAAACAACAATTTGAGAGAGATGCATTTAAATATTGAAGAGGAAAAACAAGTCATTTCTAAGGAAGGTAGTTCAACGCAAGACGTGATCTGAATCTAAAGGCAAACATGAATAAAGCACGTGATAGAATGGCGAGTACCGAAATAGAATAGTTTAGTGTTGTTGAATGACAGTTGACAGCTTGTCTCAGAATCATCACGTATAAGAAAGGAAGTTGTTCTAAAATAGAGAAGTTAAACGTGACTTTAACGGCAAATAGTATTGCAAAAGGTGACTATGCAACTTTTTCCGTCTGCTTTCAGCTTTTCGCACTTTTTAAAACGAAAAAAATTCATACAAGCCACGAACAAGATTAGTGTTATTCTCTAATTTTACTTAAGATATTTTGGAGGATTACAGCATCTCCTTTGCTGTAAACGTCTTAAACGACCGCATACGCTCATCAACCTTCTGTGCTTCGGCGAGGACTATTCAAATGTAAACATCGCCGAGGGACAAATTTCAGTCCCCGCAGTAAAACCAAAGTGCAGGTGATATGACTATCAAAGAAGAACAAAAAGACGAAAGAGTAAAAAAGAATAAATATCGGTTTCGATGAACTGTATCCCTGAAGTTGTTTTAAGCAAACGATAATTTCCCTTTTTTTAACAAATCTTTGACTTTGAGCAGTTTTCAGAGAACTAACTATATTCTCAATAAACAAACAAAGCTGTTTACTAACAAATAATTTCATTAACTTTCATTAACTGTCTTAAGCCAAACTTCTTTTACTGAGTCGGATTTACTTTTCCATCGTAAAAGCTTAGCCTGTTAAAAGCTGCCTTCTAGCAAAACTCTTGGTAATGAAGGTCAATTTCAAAACATCAGTATAATCTATCAGGAAGGGATTGCAGTTTTCCGCCGAATTCCTTTATAAGTTCGTGGTTTAATCGACCGCATGTATGTGCGTAAATCAAGGATTGCCGTATTTATTCGGGTAAACGTCCTGGGCTCTTAATAAATATTTTAGGCCTTCAGAGTGACCGCTTATTCGAGGTGGGCGCTTGTTTGATTTTATTCATTTTCAGCAAGTATTTAGTTTATTTCGCCACAAAATGATAAATAATAACAATACTCGAAGATGAACTATAGGCAGTGAATTTCGAGATTGTAAGGAAATATTGAATAAGTTATACTCCTCTTAGAGGCTCTCGATCGGGTTCACCGTTAGGCATAAAAACAGCCAAAAAATTTAGTCGTTAGGCGGAAAAATTGACAAATTTTAACCGTTAGTCGCAAAAAAAAAATAAAAGTAAAATTTTCTTAGTAATCACAAAGGATAGAAGTTAAACGTTAGCCGTAAAATGGCCGACATTTTAACCGTTAACCATCGCCTTTTGAAGAGCCTCCTCCTAGACACTTTTTTTTTGGCAAGCAGGGGGGTGGGGAGGGGGAAGCAGAAGGAGAGGGGAGGGTGCATAATCGAGGTGAGGCGTTAATCCAATAAATACGGTACTTGAGAGGAATAACCGTAATAACAATTTAGCTTATGAGAGAAAAACCAGTCCGCATAGCTTTTTTTGATGTTATTTATTTCATCTTGGATTTAAATCAGACTTTATTTTTTCTCATCGCGTTATAACAGCTTATTGATCGAAAAAGATCTTTCATTTACAGGCAGAGTCCAAAATATTGAAAATAATTGTTATATAAACATTAGAACCGGAAATCCTGAAGCGAAAGTTCAAACAATTGTTGGGGCGTTTGAAGTAAACTAGCTTGCATGAGCAAACTGGACAAATGGTACCAAGAATTTTGGTTCACAAGAAGCTTCTTTTTTAATTAATTACACGTTGCCGTTACAACGTCTACATTATTACCTTTCTGATTAAATCCAACGCCAAATCTTTTCTTTAATTTATTTCACGTTGCCGCCACAACGTCTACAGTATTCCTTTTCTGATTAACTCCAACTCAAAAGCTTTAAATTATTACACGTTGCCGCTACAACGTTTACAGTATTCCCTTTCTGATTAACTCCAACTCTAAAGCTTCTTCTTTAATTTATTACACGTTGCCGCTACAACGTTTACAGTATTTCCTTTCTGATTAACTCCAAACCTAACTTCAACTGATTTCGGCGACAATTTCAACTACGACTAACAACCATTAACCAAAAGCTACGCGCTTAAATCTCATTTGAAAGTGGGCAAAAGTAAATATATAGTTAAATATGAATAAGATAATGTCGCAAATTAATGACATTCCAATTTGGGAGAGACGACTAAAGCTGACGTGTGTTTTAAGGAGATCCCACATTATCTCAATAACGCCTATTGTCACTTTGCATGAATAGTTGAAAATACATACCAGCTGTCTTTTTTTGGGCGCCATGTTAAAATTTCAGAAGAAATATAGTGAGGCTCTTCTAAAAGGGATTGCAGAACAATTTAAACAAGTCAGAAAAAAACGACCGAGTTGTAAAATGTGGAAAGTTTACTGTCACTAAACAGTAAATCAGTTGATGGATGTTTACGGCGCACCAACAACGTCGTAAGTGTAGGTATTAGGGAACTTAAGCATCAACGGCAGATGCGGACGGCAGCCGGAAGTTAAAAGTTCTTATTTCCGGTGATAAATACATCTTTTTGGTCAGTTCAATTTGGTACAAAATTCAAAAACAAATACCTTAAGGTCGATAAATTAGCGTCAAATCGCGCCAGATTTAGTTTCATTCTTTCTTCGGTTGCCGCCCGCGTCTCAAAAACGTCTCTGCTCAAATTCTCTATAAGTAGGGAGAAAGAACTGGTGGGCATGTTCAGCCACATCAATGCGCGGATAAATCCAAACAGCATGCAGAAGGCTGGGGAGGAAACGATAACTAAGCAGCTTCGCCTGTAGAAAAATAACTGATGAGATTTTTAAGACCTTGACGATAATTACCACTGAAGATAAAACAGATGCAAGGGTTTACAGCACAGTACGAGCACGCCAGAAGAAAGGCAATAGCACCAAAGTATTGCATGCCACAAGATGACCTCATAGCCATGTTTGATGAATAAAGGAACAGCATGATGCTGATGCTGAATGGCAACCAGCATACGGTGAACACCAAGACAATGGCAACGGACATATGAAGAACATTTCTTTCTTTCTTCAAACGCCGCTCTCTTACGTTAGCTGATTGCTCGCCTGGAATCTTCTGCGACTTAATCCTTAAGGCAATGGCAAAATAAAGTATAGCGATCAAAACCAAAGGGACATATCTGGTAACAACAAACAATCCCAGAAAGTAACTTTCAAACGATAGGGACTCTCCAAATGTCTCATTCCACTGCCACCGACAAAACAGCCCTTCTGGATACTCGACAACTTTAAAGGCGATCAAATGTGGGCAATGGACTGCCATGGCGACGATCCAAATGACGAGAATGAAGTACCGGCACAGCTTTGGACTGATCAGTGGGGGACGGAGAGGAAACACTACAACTACAAATCGATCCACTGCCATAATAACCAGACTCTGAACTGACACTAGACCTGAGACATCAGAAGTGTAGGAACTCAGCTTACAGAGCACTTGGCCAAGGGGACCGCTGATAGGCCAGAAGCCGCCTGTGGTTAAAGTTAAAAACAACCGTGGAAAGAGGAAAATCGGAACCAACAGATCGGAGATGGCCATGTTTACAATCAAAATGTTGATTGGTGTTCTCAGAGATTTCTTCCTATAGACAATCATCCCTAAGAGGATATTTCCAAACAAGGACACAACAAATATCAGTGAGTAAGCGAGGGTTTTACCAATTCTTGTTGCTGTGGGGTTGAAGCAGCTCGACATGGACTGTGTTCCATTCATCATTTTGGTCACGTTTGCCGACATTTTTTCAATACTAAGAGGTCAGGTTTTTCTTCAGCCAGCAGCCTTGCGGTGGGTACGTAAATTCTACTGGATGAAAACAAAACTATCCATCTTATATAGATCAAACTTTCACATGTTTAATTAATGAACATACCCAGGAAAATTCTACAAAATTGGCAGTCTTCACCCGAGACCTAACCAAGAAAAGTATAGTTGGAATCAGCTGTTGTCCGAGATTAAGCAATCGATATGCGTTTTCAAATATTGTCGGCAAAAGGGACAGTTTTCTCAAGTTTATAAGCAGAAGCCCATCTTATATGAGTTTTTATAATTATGATCAATATTGTTCCGATGGCTCTAGAAATAGCTCAGCCACAGATGTTTACTGATATAGAATAACGGTTGACAGCTGGTAGCGAAAAGATCTACAATCTTCTTTTCAATTCAGAATTTATTTTTAATTATGTTGCCATCGAAAGTTTAATCCAGCCTCGAACTAACTAATTAGTCTTGTTGCTCAGTAGACTTGTTGGAGTTTTAAAGAAAATTTTCACGAAGTTCTAACAAAAAGGAAGGGTACAGGACAATATAAGGCCGACTTCTTATGTGCGATAAAAAATGGTATGGCTTCATAAGTCACCAGGAGAACCTGTAATAATTTAATCTTTTAGGTTAGGCATTGAGTCAGTTAAAATAGGATTGTCAAGAACAAAAATGGTTTTGAATTCTCTAATTATTTTTAACTTTTTGATATGGTTGGTACTGGTGAAAACGAGGAAAAACAAGTCATTTCTAAGGAAGGTCGTTCCACACAAGGCGTGATCTGAATCTAAAGGCAAACATGAATAAAGCACATGATAGAATGGCGAGTACAGAAATAGAATAATTTAGTGACGTTGAATGACAGTTGACAACTTGTCTCAGAATCATCACGAATGAGAAAGGAAGTTGTTCTAAAATAGAGAAATTAAAGGTGACATTAACGGCAAATAGTATTGCAAAAGGCGACTATGCAGCGTTTTTCCGTCTACTTTCAGCTTTTTTGCACTTTTTGAAACGAAAAAATTCACACAAGTCACGAACAAAATTACTGTTATTCTCTAATTTTACTCAAGATATTTTGGAGGATTACAGCAAATATGATATCTCCGTTGCTGTAAACGTCTTAAACGACCGCATTCGCTGATCAACCTTCTGTGCTTCGGCGAGAACTCATCAAATGTAAATATCGCCGAGGGACAAATTTCAGTCCCCGCGGTAAAACCAAAGTGCAGGTGATATGACTATCAAGGAAGAACAAAAAGACGAAAGAGTAAAAAAGAATAAATATCGGTTTCGATGAACCGTATCCCTGAAGTTGTTTTAAGCAAACGATAATTTCCCTTTTTTTAACCAATCTTTGACTTTGAGCAGTTTTTAGAGAACTACCCATATTCTCAATAAACAAACAAAACTGTTTACTGACAAATAATTTTTATTAACTTTCATTAACTGTCTTTAACCAAACTTCTTTTACTGAGTTGGATTTAGTTTTTTATGAGGAACAGATCCAAAAGATTTTTCCCATAGTAAAAACTCCTTTCCTTCCTCGCTTATTAACTTTTTTCCTGTCTTTATTTTGTATTTTTCTTATTTTATAAAAGCTGTAAGCAAAGTTGAATCCGATTCTCTTTCCCTCAGTAACTGGATTTAAGCAGCTCGGTACCTGTGTTCCATTCATCTTTGCGGTTACGTTTGCCGACATTCAGCCAACAGCTCTGAACGCTATCTTTTTTTGTAATTAAACGCAGTGATGATTTGCATAGATATTATTATTGTTCTTAATTGCATATGTTAGCTTCTCTAGAAACTTAAGCCTATCGACAGATGTACCCTGAACCTTCATTTTGATTAGCAAAAGTATCTACAACTGTCGTTGCCGAGATGAAAGAGTTGGGAATGATCTCATTTGGATAATTGTACTTTAAATAGAAATATCATTGGCCTCAGGAACAGTTGTTGAAAGTTCCATTTTCTTCTGTTTCCGCACCTTGACGTGTATGTAAAACGCTTTCAATAATAAATTTGTGCTTCAGTCAATTGATGATAATTGTTGTGGTTGTTTCTTGATCGTTTGTTTGCATACTATTTTCGTAACAGACGATTGACGGATGTCAGTTTCCCATCCAGGATAAGTCGTGAAAAACTAATATGAGCTAACAGCGAGGAATATGTCAAGTTATGCGTATCTTTTTTCTTTTGAGCACGAAAACGGCCTGATAATTGAGGGACGGAAAACGGGGAAAGAGGTTAAAATGAAAGCTGTCTGCTTCCTTCCCCTGCGAGGCGTGATCTGAATTAAAAAGCCAATAAATGTTTAGCATATGACTGGAAAGCAAAAACTGAAATAGCGTTATTTATTGAATTACGTTTGACAGCTGGCTCCATGTGATGGCGGCTTATAATAAGTGAAGGAAAATGTTGCAAGATGTAGTACACAGTATTTTAAAGGATTATACAGAAATCAAGAGATTCTTTTGTGAAAAACCTAGTAAACTGAAAAATTTAACTTTACTGTTTTCTATTGCCATAAACGACCGCATAAACGCACTTATCTTAAGTGCTCTGGTGAGGTCAGTTATTCAAGTTGTAAATATTACTGAGCGAAAAATGTCATGAATTCCCCGAGGTAAAAGCAAATTATAAAGTGGCCAGTGATATGAGGAAGGAATTGATGAAGTTTAAAAAGTGCAAAATTTCTTGCAGTTCTCGATCAATTTTTTTTTCCTAATTCAGTCAAACCCTAATGTCCCATGTACTTCTTTGATATCTATTTTTATTTCTGACGCCAAAGAATAAACAGATGTTATGCTTTCTATTGCTCTCATCCCTTCGTTTAAAAACCATTTCAGGCACACTCATTCAAAAAACATGTTAACTTGCTTTTATTGTAAAAAAGAGGATTTAATTATATGTTTTCTGGTATATATAACAAGGCGCGGTCGGCCGAGTTAAGTTTTCGCGAACACAATGGTTGTGAAGGAGATGTAGTTAAGTGATGTGTTTTGTCTTTATTAACTCGAAGCTACATGCGATCAATTCGATCTTATTTTTATCTGATCCTTTTACTTCTTAGGAAAAATTCATCGACAGTAGTCTACAAAGAAATGTTTACAAATCATGTACTTAGAATTATATATATCAAACGATCATTAAGCCATAACTATTCTAAATAATGGTTTAAGCCGTCATGCAAATTTCCATAAAAATTCTTTGAGCTGCCAGTTAGGTATATACATGAAGTCGTGCGGTCTGAAGTGACTTTTTTCTGAGGATTTTGAAGATGTTGGCTTATTTCAACTTCCTTAGCCGGTCATTTTAAATGAGCAAGTACCAGAATATCAGTAGACAAGATATCTGGTTTTTTTTTTTTGTTTTTGCTTTTTTTTTGCGGGGTCGATTGAGTTGTTTCCCTACCTTAAACTTTGCCTCAAAGTGATTATTCAAAAGTAGAATTAATGAGCCCCTTTTTATTATATATCAGCAGTAAGGCTGATATATTGTGTATCTGCATCAGAAACATCGTAAGCTGATGAGCTAATAAACTACAAAAAAGCATCTGGGTCAACCAAAGAGAAATCAGCTAAAGAGATTCTAAAGGCCTCGACGATAATTTCCATGGAAAGCGAAACAGATTAGTAATGGTAATAGGACCGAGTGGAGTCTAATTCGGTCTGTAATCATACGAGTGATTAAAATTAAAATCGAACAACTGCGAAACAGGAGTCCGATTTGTTGATCACGAGTATGATTACAAACAGAATTGGAAGACAAGAAGTGAAAACAACAATTTCAGAGAAATATGTTTAAATATAAAAGAGGAAAAACAAGTCATTACTAAGAAAGGTAGTTCAACGCAAGGCGTGATCTGAATCTAAAGGCAAACATGAATAAAACACGTGATAGAATGGCGAGTGCTGAAATAGAATATTTTAGTGATGTTGAATGACAGTTGACAGCTTGTCTCAGAATCATCACGCATGAGAAAGGAAGTTGTTCTAAAATAGAGGAGTTAAGCGTGACGTTAACGGCAAATAGTATTGCAAAAGGAGACCATGAAACGTTTGTTGAAGTCCTAAATGTAATAACTGTCCTAAATGTAATAAAGTCCTAAATGTAATAACGTTCGGTCCTAAATGTAATAAGCCTCCTATGCAATCTTTTAACTGCGCTAACATTGAGATGTCAAAGTGACAGCTGTTGCACCAAAGAATCCTCTGACCAATATTCATGGAATATTGCGGGCTCACTGATATTAATCAGCGTCTTTTTATTTGCTAAAGACGTAGGTTGAGAAACATTGGTTACAAAGCCTTATACTGATACTGATGAGCTTTTGGCATCAAATTGACGGACGCAAAAGCAATGAGAACGTTGACCAATAGCTGTCTTTATATCATTGGCTCAGACTCTTAAGTGTAACAGATTTTAACGATATACTTCTGTCATCAGTGCTGAAGTTAACACTTCATGAACCGAATTATAAGGAAAAGGAAGTCCACCGACTTATACCTTAGACAAATTCTGGGCTCGGAAGGGCATTTTTTGTACTGTCTTCCCTTGCCAAATTTGTACGGGTCTGCATAAAATATATTCATATGCGTTATTGACCAAGAGTGAGGTCAAAATGGCTGGATATTAGCCGAGTTCCTTTTTTTTTGCGTTTTTATGGACTGAGACGAAGTCTCGGTCCATAAAAAAGTAGAAAAAAACGAGGCTAATATCCAGTAATCTTGACCATACAAGCTTGGTCAAGAAAGTTTATATTCTCTTGGCTTAATCATTAAAGGATTCATTGTATAGCAAAAGATTTCACTTTGATAAGAATCAAGAATGGCCCGTTTATTTCGAGAGCCGATAGTGAAAGCCAGCTGTGTTTGCAGCACAATAAACTCAGGAGGATCGTTAATTTCTTTTTTTTTATGTATATGCAAACATTGTCCAAAAGTTACGAACTTTGTAGGTTTTCTTGCGTGGGATCA